TGTTCAGACCAGCGCAACTAACGGGGCACCGCCGGTTCAACGGAAATTTACATCCCTTTTACGAAGCTTCTGATCGTGCTTGCACAGGCTAGTAGTGAAGACATGATACTGCCCACTATTCAACTGCTTCGGGTGGCTCTTGCAACCTGGCTATTGTTGCTGCTGACTCCCTTGTTGATTATAACTACCCTAGTTGCCCTGATTGCCTTGATTGCCATGTCCGCCCTGATTACCTTGAAATCCTGAGCCAGAATTACCTCCACCATAACCCGGCCCATGAGACCCGGGTCCTGACCCGCCGGGCGGTCCATGATCATATCGGAAAAGATCCGAGTTTTTGAACTCCCGCATAATAAAGCAAACCTTCCAGAGGTGCGTAGCTGGCTTTTCTCGCGCCCTGGGTCGCCGGTCCGGTCACCCTGATTTGCGACATCTCCTCGAGACGCTTGAGCTCGAGCCCCTTCTTCTTGTGTTCTTCCTTCTTCCGCTTCTTGCACTCCTGCTCCTTCAACTACCACGCTGGCGGCGGCCCCCAACCAGCAGCCTCGCTGTCACACACCGCGCTGTGCGCCTTGGCCTGCGCACGCTCGCGCTCATGGCCATGCTCCGCCGCGGGGTTGAGAGGAGGCAGGGGACGCTTGTTCGCGCACCGGTCGGCCTTGAAGCCCATGGCTACCACCTCGACAAAGGAGCACTCGAGGGGCCGCGGGGGGAGGGGGATGAGGAGACGGGCGGAGCGGCCGAAGCGACACGCCTCCGATTTGGTGGCTGGAAAACCTAGCGACGGATCTAGGGTTCCCTTGGGCAGCCAGAGCCACTTATATACCCTCTCCTATGGGCCATGACCTGACGGGTCGGGCTTCCAGCCCTCAGACACTTGGCACCCCAGGCACCGCCGACCCGGGCAGGCCGTCCCCACTTGGGCCGAACCTGAGCCAGTTGTGGGCCGCGCGACCTTATCGGCCCGAAGACCCACCCGACCCCCCTGCTTCGGAATCCCAACCCTAGAGCAAGGAGATCCCGCCGCCACCGGCGCAGCAGCCTTCCCTGGGCTCTGCGAAGCTTCCCGAAGCAGGAGGCTCTCCTCCTCATCCGGGGCCGCAAGAACAGCCCGTCCCTACCGCGGGGACGATGTCCGAGCGACATGACGCGCCTCCCCCGCCTGAGATCCACGCCGACGAGGGCCACGACCTCTAGGCGCAAACGCACGCCGCCGGCCAGCATGGAGCGAGCCTTCAAGCTCCTCCTCCCTGGCCACAAAATCTCCCACCGAGCACAGGGTCGGACCGCACTCCGCCCCCGCACCGTCCTTCTCTTCTTCCACTTCGTCTTCGGAGTCCACCCTTGCCAAAGCCCAGAAACGGCTGCCGGACCAGCCACCGGCGCTCGCTGGAGCGTTCCTCAGCCCCTCCCTGGGTGCAGGACACGCCGGCGCCACACCCTCCTGGACCAGCGACCACTCTAACGCGCTCTGCCAGTTAGGATCGACCACCCCCTCATCGTGCTCGCCATCGCCTCCCTAGTTGCCACTCCGTACAGGAGCCGTTGGAGCCATCCAGTGTGGCAAGACTTTGCCCGCCCAGTCTGGCTATTCAAAAACAGTTTGCCATTTTAGGCATCTCCAACAACGACTAATCCCAAAAACAGACACATGATTTGTCCACGAACAGTTATGCGGGAGCCGGCCATCCAACTGTGTCCGCATCAATTTAAAAAAAAAATTGGACCAACATGACAGAATTCACTAATTTGGACATAATTTACATAAACGGACCAAATTCAAGGAAAAACTAAAAAACAGACTAACTTGTAGCAAATGGTAACCTCATACGCGTGGGCATCCAAGCCGCCGTCACCGTCGTCGGAGTAGTCCTTCCAACGGCGAGAGGGAGCGGGGGCGCGACACACCTGGCCGGCCGCCGCCTGGCGCTCGTGGAGGAGCCGCTCTGCTTCCTCTCGTGTCGTGCCAATGGCAGCCGCAACCAATACCAACCCCGTCCGCGGTGCCCTGGCACTGGCCTTGCCCCTGCCGGCGGAAACGGAGGTGTAGCTTAACGACCACTCCTCGTCGATCTTGGCGAGCTCCCCGTTGAGGCGGTGATAGCGCCGCACTGCCGTCAACGCTGTGGTGAGCGAGCGGAGAAAGTGGGAGTGGCGAAGGTGGGAATGGTGTGGGTGCGGTTCTGGTCGGCATCGGAGCTGGCTTAAATAGGCGCACATAGAGCAGGTGAAGGGCCGGGAAGCCACGAGAAATTGGCTTCAATGCGGCGCGACGGCCAGAGTAGGCTTCTCAGTCTCCATGTTGACATTGAAGCGGCGCCGCCTACTCGTCCGGTCGGTCTGACTAGCATCAATGTCATGGAGTCACATTTGCTCTGGAGCGGCACTAGTCGGCATTTTTATTTTGAAAAGAAGGATTATCCCCAGCCTCTACATCTGAGCGATCCATGCAGTCATTTTATTAATTATTCTCAGAAACCTTACAAAGCATTGCATCAGTAAGCCTGAAGCCACCACCTTGGCGGCACCTGCCGCTACTCCTATCCCCTTGATGCAGGGGTGCCGAATGTCCGAGCGTAATACCGAACAGACATCGCACCAAAACCTAACATCTAATGCCGGATGCCCCATCCCAGCCATATATTGGGTATGGATCACACACTAGTCCAGCGCACTCACCGAGGCTACCGCCACCATCATCCACCTAACCATATTCAGAGCAGGTACCGACGCAAAGATCTTGTCCGGTCAGCTATCGATGGCACCATGGCGCCAGGCAGCGCCACCGCCCTGTGATCGTCCATCCAGCCGCATCTGTTGTTGGCATCCAGCTGCACCATTCCGCCAATACTCGTCGTCATCGACGCGGTAGAAACAACGCCGCACCTCCTGGCAACCTCCACACTGTCGTCGCTGCGAGAGCTACGCGGAGTCCATCACCCACAGCATCTCTCCGCCGAACAGCAGAACCTCCCAAGACGGCGCCTCCATGGAGGGTACGACGCAAAGGACGCCAGCGCCGGCCAATCCAGATTGAATTTTGGAGTTTTGTCCGGGGGGTTCGGAGGTGGATAGGATAGACCTCAACATCGCCTCCACCGAGGGTAACGACATCAAGAGATGTCGCTGATGTCGGACCGCACAAGACGATCAAAGTTTCCTCCGGTCCCCATCCTATACCACCAAACCTCCATCGGCTCCAGATTCGGCAACGGACCACGAACCGAAACCTACAGAGATGAGAGAGGTATGGGGCTCAGCCCACCATCAAGGAGGATCGAGAAGAATCCATCGTAGATCTCCAGGCGTTGAATCCAGTGATCCGGCATGGTCAGCAACGACCACCACCACCCCGCAGCGGTCGACGGCGTTCAAGCCCAAGACCCATAATTGGATCCTATCTGAACCCGGCAGCGCCCGCGACCACCGATCTTTCCCACCACGCAGACGTCACCATGCCGCAAGCAGGCAGCCGCCGCCGCCGCGCCGCGCACGACATCGCCAAGAAACCGCCCTCCACACCGCCCGACCCCACCCTAGCGCGGCGCCGCGCCCGATCTTGCTGCCCCGCGCTAGCCGCGACGGACAAGGGGGAGAGACGCCCCGCCGCCGCCCAGCCGGCCAAGCTTTGCCTGGTGGCGCTTCGGAAGGCGGCAAGGAGAGGTGGAGGCGGAGGAGGGCCGAGAGGACGGTGGCTAGGGTTCTCCCCTGGGTCGCCCGCGGGGGCGACACGAGGGGTACCTGATATGGTCCGCGGGATCAAAGAGGACTATGCAGCCAACAACCACTTCCCGAGGGAGGCGAGTTTTTTGGGTGGGTCCGGGGTGTCGGACGCGTGCATGGCAGTAATTCAGATGCCTGCAAAGCCCCTTTGGCTTGCCTTTGATTTGTTGGAGAAAGTACATCTGGACAGGTCCGCGGTCTGACCTAGCTTTCGAACAAATCTGGCACACACGTCTCTTCTCTGCTTCATCTCTCCTCCCAAAGGAAAAGGCACCTAAGGATCCAGCCTCCCATCAACTGCATTGCCGCTCTGCCTCGTCTCCTCTGGCCTTAGAACCATGTGGGTGCGGTGGATCCTGGCCCTTACCGTACGCTGGCATAGTGTTTCCATCGTGAAGACACTTGATCACCTCAGCAGAATCGGTGATTTTCACCCATCATGGCATGTCGCCGAGTCGGCCATGAAGACACCAAAATCATCGCTACAGACGCTCCTCTGTTCAACATCTTTGCTAGTCTGCCATCCACATGGATTCTGCTACTCCAAGGGAAAATATCAAGTGCTACCAGCACTTAGATAATACCATGATACGGGCTTTTGGGCCATTGGATCGAAGATCCGACAGCTCCTTGAAATCTATTGTACTTATGTGAAATTTGAAGACTTTCGGATGACTTTTTTGCAAAATGTTCAAGAGCTCCTGGGAGCCGTCAGATCACCGTATCAGCTAAGGCCCGGTATCACCTGATATCTTCCCTCACTATCAAGGAACTGTATCATAAAAAAATTCTGGTTTTTTTGCTGCTCACAGAATGTAGTTATCCAACCGGTCATGTCAACACTCAACAAAACATATCAATTGCCGCTCTAATACCCCTACAAAGATTACACGGTACCTTTGTGGGTCGGTGCCACCAGACAAGATTGAGATCGTTCGTTGCTCGCCTGCACGATCACGCTATTCTGCAATAGGAGCAGCTGGCCTTTTCAGCGACCGGGCAGCACAGGACACGCCGCCGAGAGAAGGCAGAGATTGTTAATTTACACGTACATATGCGCTTCTTCATTCATCAGCCATCACGCATGCACGGACGGAAACGCAATTAATTCCTTTGGACTGCCTAGCAAGATCGAGAAGCTACTCTCAAACAACGAAAATCTATCGTTTGTGAGAGAGTTGGATGGTTGAATCAACGGTCGAGCGCCTCACTTCCAGCAACAGCAGCTGACCTTCACTAAATCATTTTCGGCACACAAGCTCTTGCCACCTGCTTCCTCATGGTCTGATATGTCCATATTTCTGAGTGTGTTGGCTGGTTGTGCTTCCAGCAATACTGTTCATCTCCAACTCTGCCACTAATATGGAATTGTCGTTGCTACCTTCACTCTCACCTTGTCCTTCTTCATCATCAATTTCCATCATCGACACTCCATGATAGTGTGCAACTGCAACCCTGATCGATGAAAGAGCGCACGCTTTACTAGTCTGGAATCTTAGTAAATGAAATCAGTGTAGAGGAGTACAACGTCAAAATAACTAAGCAGACAACAACATGGGTAATAGAGAAATTAATAAAACCTGAAAACACAGATTACCTTTCTGACCCCATCAAACATGCGAAGCCACGAACCAGGCTAAAGACCTTAAGCTTTGTCTTCAGCCTGGGAAATATGGAGCACTCACTATTTTAGCATATACAGAGAGGGGCTAACCAGCATTGTTTTTTGAAACGGAGTCAAAAGATTTGCTCCATCAATTAATTTAGCATAAGAGAATTGCCAAGTTAATTAACGGGAAATCCGGAAAAAACCGACACAAACCAACCACATGCGGACTACTCATAGAGCATGCAACCCCGAAAGTGCACGATCAACCCTACAACCATACCCAACACACAACGACCACCAATCCCCACACTACTACACCGCAAGGAAACCCCTACCAAAAGTGCCTGTGCCAAAGACCATGAACACAACCAAATTCACGGAGACAAGCCAGGCCATAAGGATCGCCCAAGAGACTGATGACCATCCATCAAACAGCTACGGACGCCTTTGTTGTGGCGTCCTTGCTTTTCCACCTGAGTGCTTTCTCCACAATCTTCTTGCCAGATCCAGGGATGACCGCCTCCAAACGTGTGAGCAAGCTGCCAAGCTGTATCTCAAAGAGAATGTCATCCTCAGCCATAGGTACCATCGACAAGACGGACTCAGGTGCCTCCGGTTGCTCACTTGGCAGAGGAGAACCCAGAAGTTGTGCCTCAAAATTAGGTGCCAACGCGCCTACCTCGTCAACCTCGTCACCCACCGACCCCAAGTGCTCCATCTCCTTCAGAAGCACCAATGAAAGAGGTGAAGTGGGCTCCCCACAACGCTCCTGCCGCTCAGGCATAATAGACAGCACTAGAGCCAGGACATCGTCGATGACAACACAACCAGAGGCAGTCAATAGCACAAACATCGATGACGGACATGATGTAGCACGAGGGGAGAAATGTCCATAAAGGCTTGCTTCCTCCGCAACAAAAGACCCAATCGGGAGCTCAAGCAGTGAAGGCACAACCGGCACAACCTTTAGTTTGGCGAGAGTGGCCTCCACTCTCTACAAACGCTCCCAACTCGTGCAAGGCAGTCGCGAAGCTCGATGCAAAGCAGCTTGTTCTCCTCCGCCAGGACGGGCTGTAATTGCAAATCAACCGGTGTTGCGACGACCTCCAGTGCAGGCAATGAGGCATCATGACGCGGCTTCGAAGACAGATCGGAGCAGTGCTGAGCACAACAGAAACACACTTTGTGGCCGAAACGAAGGCATTAGGTGCACTGGATTGGGTCCCTACAAGGATGGGCATGATGACCTTTGGAGAGACACTGAAAACATCGATCTCTGAGCCACGCCAGAGGAGCAAGCCGGGCAATGGAAGTGGGCCGAGGGAAGGCCTTTGTAGATGGCGAACGGGGGCGTTCAGCGACGATGTGCCAATCTCCCAACATTTCCCCATGAGCTGCTGGCGCGCAGCACATGGCATCAGTGGGTGTCATCTTCCTGCTAATGCATCCAAGCCAGTCCCCCAACCAGGACACACGGGAATGGCTACCGGGACGGTGCATGACAGACCGGCGGCAATGGGCGGGTTCGTGTACGGTGCAGGCGGCAATTGGAGCGGCGCGAGTGGAGCGGTCGGGACAACCTACATAACGCATCGGGAGGCAACTGCCAGAGCATTGGGAGCCCCGTCCTGCACAGCTACGGACACCACCGCATTGCCCAGACCAAATGGGTCGCAGCCAAGCTGACCAACAGCAGCATGGAGGTTGCCTGGGATGCAAGATCGATGAACAGTGGCGGCTCAGACACATCACAGAGACGATGGCCGGAGCGACCGCCGTCACCGACTAGGGCACAGAGTCAGAGCTCAGCATGGCCGGAACAGCAGGAGTCGACGTGGACGATGAACTAGTGCGCAGCATGGCTGGAGTGGCAGATGCAGCCGCTGCCGACGCCGAGGCAAGCCGGGGGCGCTCACAATGGACGGGCGAAGACGGAGCAGCCGGCACGGTGAGCCTCGCGGATGCGGGAGCAAGCTTGGCCCGGGGCTCCTCCAGCACCTGCATGGACACTCTACCCATCTGGACAGGGTGACCCAGCGCCGGCTGCAGCGGGGCGGACATGAGCTCCTGGTCCGGATCAGACCAAGCAGCGGACGGGGGGACCGGCAGGACGAGGCACGCCCTGCAGCCATCAGGCAGCGAGCTGGCCGGGACGCGGGTCGGCGGCAGGGTGGCTTACGGGGCTGCTGGCGGTGTGGACGGCAAGTGGCGGTTTCAGGAATCATATCATGTGTAGTCAATTTGATGTTGTGTGGTCAGATGTATGAATTTATTAATAATTTGCATGATTTCTGCTTGTCCCATGGCATTTTTCCCAAAAATCTGCGTCGTCAATTAACTACACAGATGAAGTGTGGCTTCGCCACCGAGGACGGGACGGACGGCGCAAGGTTGCGAGGGCTCATGTTTCACTCCTGTTTTTTCTTACGAGAGGGATGGATAGAGATGATGGCGCGGCGGCCAGATCCGGGAGCGATGGTCGCAGGGGTGACCATGGTTGTATGGTCGAGACATGGTGAGACGTGGTTGTATGGTGATTACCTGAAGTCAGTGGAGCTCCACACACGAACAACATCATCATGACAACCTGTAATTAGAACTGGAAGACTGGGATGGGCAAAGACGGAAAAGACTGTAGACTCATGTTCGAGTGTATGAAGACACTCCTTCTGCAAGTCCCATATCTGTTTTGAAAATAAAAAATAAGGCATTGATATATTAGAAATGCTAGATGTATGTTGTATTAATGTACTTTCCAACATAATAGCCGACCTTGGTAGTATTGTCACGAGAGCCACTAATCAAATACTGCTGACCATCACGCTTGAAGAAATCCACGCAAAGCACGCTTTCCGAATGCCCAGAGAGAGTATACTTGGATTTGGGAGAATCAATACTCCAAACCTGAACACCAACCATAAGAGCTTCCAGTCAATCAAACGTGCTCCATCGCCATCATTACATCGAAGTCTACTTGGCAAAGAATAATGGAGGGAGAAAGCAAAACCTTTACTGTACAATCATCTGAAGCACTTGCAAAACTGTTGCTGTCCTCTGGGTTAAATTTTAGTTCACGAATATCATATGAGTGTTCTTCAAATGTCTGTATGCAATTCCAGTCCTGGTCCCAGTCCCAAAGCTTTATTTTCTCACGCCATCCTGACAGCACATACGGCTGGGTCGGATGAACATCTAATGAACACCGTGGCCTCGCAAGAGAATCGTGGGCTTTGAAACTCGTGACCTTTTCCAGTTCCTTTTCATACTTGTACACATGGAGTAAACAATCATCTGACACAACCACAATCCACCGCTTTCGTGCAATAAGTTTAACAAAGGATACTGCAGTGAGGGCAATCGTCTGATTAGCATTTCATTGTACAACTGTACATATGGGGGAAGAAAATCATGTTAAGAAGCTTACCTCCTCTCTCTGAGACCTTAATAGAAGCAACCACTTTCTGCTAGTAAACAAGAATGAGTCATTTGTTGGTCCAACCTAAACAAAAACTTGGTATATTTGCCAACAAAATTGAGCTTTTGGTGATGACCCTTTACATTTAATCATGTATATTTAATTGAAATACTATGAAAGGGAAAAAGTAGGCAAAAACATTTGCAAATATAGTGTGGTGTTTTATTGACTGTGGGCAAAAACTTTAACATTATGGTACAGCTCCCATCGACCATCACCAAGCATGGACTTTTCCCCCTATATTTGGAAATCAACAAAATTTGTATATGTACTTAAGAACTGTAAATGCTTGGGCCACTAGCATCTTTCTGATGCAAAGGGCAAGTGGCCATAATTTTCTTTCTTTATCCAAAATACTGGAAGACGAAGCAATAGAGGTAACTTGCCTGCGTGTCAGACTTCCAAATCTGGACATGACCAAATCGGTGACCGGTGACAATCCTGTATGATAATGAGGTAGTAAAGCAGGATAATCACATCCAACGCACCAACTTGAAAAGGAAGAATAAAGATTAAAATGCCCATATTATCCTACACACTTACAAAGGCTCTGTCTGATGTGCATCCATACAGTGGAACCCATCGACTGCAGCATCTGTAATCTGACCAAACAGCAGTAAAGGTTGGATTGTCTGCTACGTCGCCAATGCATCAAAGACAGACAAAAGGAAGCATCAGTACAATTCAACTCAGTCACTAAAGCAGCATTGTTCCAATGCCACAACGCAATTACACTCATAAATGAATTTAGTTGGGATGTCTTTCTACCTTGATCATCTCGAATCATCTATCTTACATAGTAGAGCATTGTTCCAGATGGCGGCACTGAGCGCCCCGAGGAGGCGAGGACGCCCATTGCTTGTGCGGCATGTCAGCCAAGTTCGTGGACGCTAACAACAAGGCTGCCATAGTGTGGGTGTGGCACAGGAAGACCAAGATGCTCTATGTGGACTGCATGCATGGCAACGCTTGCATGGCCAACATCCTCGTCGCCAACAGCAATGTCGTCATCCCCAGTCCGTAACATCTCCAAGATTATCAGCGGATGGTGTTGGATTATGAATGTCGACCAGCGTGCGCACAGCGCGGGTGGAGCAGGCTGGTGAGCCCTAAAGTTGGCTCCTCGTGCGCTCAACTTGGTGCGAATGGAGCTGGTGGGCTCATGCACATTGCTCGGCTAAATGGCTGAGGCCACTTACAGAACTTGGGGATAAAGCTCCACGCGATAGGTGTCGGAGCTAGCGGCGAAGGGCTCTCAGAGGAAGGCATCATGCTCACAGATACGGGGATAATTAGGTTGTCGGACTAATGGTCGCGTGGGAGTAAAAAAGCAAGAGAAAAGAAAAAAAAGGTTTCCGGACAACAAGCGAAGGTTTCTCAAGAACTCGATCGATCGGGGTGACCAGGACAGGAGCCCAGGATGCAGCAGTGGCGGGCTACACTGACCTCTGCGCGCATGCCAAGTAGCAGCAAGCCGGAGACTGAGCGATGCTACCGACGCCAAGATCGACAAGCTACAACTATATTCTTTATTTTTCCGTAATAATATAAACATAATAAGATTATATTATGGTATCGAAATTATCAGATGGAAAAAATTACTTGATGCAAGATGTTTATTTTAATTATCAAGGAATCAACTTTACAGTAAATAATTATTTGTGTTGAACAAAAATCAAATTGACATAGCTTTGTAAGTCATATAGGGACAGATGACAGACAATTGAACGCTTTCTTTCCGGTGCATTATATGGTAATGTACAGTTTTGATCAAACATGGACGAAAGACCCCTGGTAACCAAAACACTGTTTACTCGAAAGATTAGACCTTTTTTTTGCGATGAAAAAGGAGTTTTATTCTAAATTGATAGACCTATTATGCTGTCGCTGCCCTTTTGGACATTTGTATTAATTAAATTTCTGCCATGCTGTTACTCTTACTTGCACCATTATTCATTACACACAAGTTTCATTTGTACTAGCTAATAATTAACTATTCTTAGTTACCAATCTCACCTGTGTCTCAGGTGGTATATCACGTATTGATGCGCACACACGCACACAACTGGTGGGACGTACTTGTCAACAAACAAAATTCTGACTTCTCAACACTACATGAAAATAAAAAGGAAAAGATGTGCAACCCAACCTAATCTACTAATTATTTTGCAGTACTCTGTATTAAAATAATTTTAAAATATACTCCCTCCGTTCCTAAATATAAGTCTTTTTAAAGATTCCAACAAGTGACTACGTACGGAGCAAAGTGAATGAATCTATACTCTAAAATATGTCTAAATACATCTGTATGTTGTAGTCCATTTAAAATGTCTAAAAATACTTATATTTAGGAACGGAGGGAGTATTTGATCTGGACGTCTTTTATTTTTTGAAGAAAGCGATCTCTCCCCCAATTTCATTCACAAAACCACAAAGTTCAACTACAAAGCGTAAGTAAATATATGTTGACCTGAACGTCTATCAATTTGGCACTCTTTTTTTGCGGGAAGGCACTCTAACTACAATAAAAGATCATTTGCACTGGACATAAATTGAATAGACAAAGCTTTGCATGTTGGTATTCTTGGACAACTCACCCAACTGGTTTCCTCACTTGCTTCTTGTGGCTCACTGACGTAAAAAACCACATCCAAATTCACGTCATCAACCACATTGACCACCTCATTAGTGAACATATTTGTTGTTATATCCTCAACTGCAAGGCAATCATTCACGTTGGTGCTCCACACAACAAGTTCATTGGAACGATGCATATATCCCGGTGCATTGCCCTGCAACTGCAGGGTTATTTCAACATTACACTTGGATCTTGGCGGCATAATGCCTTTCTGTGGTTGTGTGCAGTATGGCAAGGGGCTCGTATTTTCGATGTTGAAGGCAATGTAAGAGTCCATCCCATTGGTTAACTTAAGTGTGCATGACATCTGTTTGTTAAGCTCAAACGGAAAATGTAGTTGGAGTGGCTCAATTCCAAGCATATCATCCTCCGAGTAAGGGCTTATCTACAATAAAGAGCGGGAGAAAGTAAAATGAAAGAATGAAAGAATTGGGGCAAGTAGTCCAAAGCTAACTAATAAGGCCCATGGAGCATTCGAGCTTACCTGTCCAAATGCATGTTCATAGGCATTGCTGAGTTTTCCATTAGCACCTTCAATTTCTCTTATAACATGTATCATATGCCAGATATAAGGCCGTTTGGTTGGCTCGATTTCGTGGCAGAGTAACCCAATTTCAAGGCATTTTGCTACTTGTTGGTAAGCCAGTGGTGTTTCCTTCCCTGTTTTCTTCCATCTATGCCTCCATCTCCTAAGTACCTGTCGTTCCATGAAATGTGACAAAGTAAGTTGAAATGTTTTATAAAAACTGTGAGGACGACGACACATAAACCAGCTTGGACACGTCTCTCTTCTCCACACAAAATTAGACGAGGCAATGCATGCTTTGAATGATGGAAAAAGAAAGAGATGAGAAGGTTTTGGTTCCTAATATAATCAAGAGTATCTCATGTGCTCTGTATGCTTCAAGAGAGAGATGAGAAGGGTTGATATTAGCACAGTCTAGATTTTTACGCGTAGATGTGAATGACAGTATAAATGGATTTTCTGGCTGCATGCACCTAGTGAAGGTGTGCGTACTGGTTCATGCTTCTGAATATTGTTGATTTATATAAAAAATGGTTTCTACTTTTGTAAGTTCTAGTGGTTGTTGAAGTGTTCCATATTTAACGCATGCAAACTATGCTCTTTAACGCTTTTGCAAATATGGCTGTGTTTGTTAGTAGCAAGAGCACAGGTAACTCTGATTCGGGACAGTGTTTTTGGGCTGTGATGGATGCAGCTGGCTAGGCCTTTCCGCTTATTTATAGCTGAAAGGAACTAGTACAGAACCATCTCAGTGGCTTTCTTACAGCCTAAGATTTCTTGACTTGACCCACTGACTTGTAGCCTAAGACACAGACTTGACTCACTAGGTTACTGCCTAAGGAAAACACTTGACTCATTGACTGACTGCAGCAAGGATTATTCTAACAATTCTCCCCCTGATCCTTGCAAATAAGACTTGAATCAATTTGGACAATCCCAATCCTAACACGCAGCTCATGGAATTCACCCGCCCTAGTGTTTTCGTTAGAATGTCAGCGAGTTGGTCTGTGGTGTTGATGTAGTTAGCACAGACACATTGCATGACTAATCTTTCTCTTCGGATATGCAGTATGTAACTAAATATGCCATCCAATACCTCAAACAATGTAACATATATGCAAGGCATAAATCTTGGGTATTTCTAGAAAGAGATTATATGTATGGAGAGATAACACACACTTACATTGTTATTATCACTGCGGATTTCCTTTTCTCCTGTCACTAATTCGATGATTATAATGCCCAAACTGTACATGTCTGATTTGAATGACATCTTTCCCTTATGTAGGTATTCTGGAGCACAGTATCCTCTGCATAAAAGGACGGTATTTTAATTCATTATAGCATCAGAAAATGTGAGTGTAAATGCAAAAGAACAAGTTCCTTTGATGCATAGCTTACATTGATCCATGACGTTCCTCACTCATGGTTTTTGACTTCTCATCAAGTCTCGATAAACCAAAATCTGTGATTTTCGGCACCATATCGTTGTCTAGTAGTATATTGTCGGGTTTCAAATCCATATGATATATTTGCTTTTCCTTGTGCAGATGATGCAAACCTTCACAGATGCCTCTAATTATTTTATAACGTGTATTCCATTCAAGTCCCCTTAATTCATCTGAATAATAGAAAAAGTGGCAGCGAGAATGAAAGTTTCCAACAGTTGATTTATGCAAGTTAAATACTGAACAATAAGTGACATCAACATTTGTGTTCTAGTCTACATCTCCTTGATTATAAATAAAACGCGTCAACATGAAATTAATGGAAAGAGATAAATAAACAAAGATAACAGCTATATATCGGATGCAAC